TTGTACCATCATTACCATGGACTATGTTAAAGTTTTGAAATACGAGGGCAAATGACGTACGACACAACGTTTATCAATGCCACAAGCTCTGTGATCAAACACATGACATTAATTCCAACAACATTAGATCAATGTGCTTAATTGTTTTTGGTAATTTGCTTCACAAACTTAATAGAATGATTTTTTTTTTCAATGAAAGATGGCATCGCTCGTATACTATATCCAAACTGAGTCATAAAAAAAAATCTAGTGAAAGTAATAATAACATAACAACACAGGATTATGAGGCTCCTTCAAAAATTATCATCAACGATAACACCATGTTTAACAGTTACACAATAATAAACATGGTAATGATGGTACGATGGACTATTATGTCATTAGCCACATTTAAGCTCTCCACTCCAAAGCTCAGCGCGCTCCACACACACACTCGTACGTCGATTAGTTTGCTTTCGTACGTGGTAACTCGTGCTTTCGTATGTTCATCACTGAATTGTTGTTCGTTCGAAGAATAACAGAATTAGGGTTAGTCATCGAACACGAGATACATGGGTACACTGATCTTTGCGTCCAATCATTACACTGCGGTACAAAAGTAAATTGCCTGCCTCCCTTATATCGTCAATATTTTTCAATTATAGATCTTTACTTTTCGCAATGGGAACAACTGAGTCACAGACACACTGTTGGGTTTTGAGTTCTAGAACTGCGAGGAATCTTTTTTTGTCAAGAAAGCATAGTACTATTTCGGTATAGAATTTTTTAATTATTGCGAGTGTACATCTGTATCTGCAAAATGTAGTAGTAATTTTTAAATTCTTATAAGCAATCATGCATCACATGTGCATTTATACTTGTATCTTACAAGTAATGCCGTGAGTCTAAATGAATTTATGCCTGTTGCGATGATCGTTAGCTTTAACAAGTACTTTTTAATAAATAGTTAACGCATGTACACGTATTTATTATAGAAATTACTTATGAGTGCTTACACTGAAGATCATAAATAAAACTGTATGACACTTTGAATTGAGAGCAGTTTTTCGGAAAAATTTATTGATGTTTTTATCATTACCCGAAGAGACAAACAGATAAATGTTGTTTCACCTACTTGTGCGATCTGGTCGAAACGGCCAAAGAGCTCGTTAAGAGTTTTCACCAAGTCCGAGGCTGACAGCTGCTCTGACAGTGGTGTGAAGTTGACTATATCGGCGTATAAAATACTGAAAAAAGAAGGAATCGTGTTTTAAATTACCTGGCAAAATATTTTTTGCACAACAACATGAAAAAAAAAGAAAAAAAATTATCATTGACACAGCAATAGTTTCTTCTTCATATAAAAGAATGTTACAAAATAAACACAGTTGAAATCTGAAAAACAATGGGCCAAAAAACTGCTACACTTTTTTCGGGGTAAGAGAAGACACGTATAGATTGTCACTTTTTTTAGCACCTGTGTTAATTTTAACTCATATACATTGGTTTTGATGAAAAATGATAATTGCTGGATGTTCTTTTAAAATTTCTAGTCATTGCATTATTTTTTCTTGTTTCAACTCTCAACTGATGCCAATCAATTTTGGTTTGATCAATTCCTTGAAATCAGGTTTTTAGCGTTTTCATATTATTTCTCATCAAAATAATATAATTAGTTGGTGGAAGTTAAAACAATTGGAAAGTCACCTTATAAACCCTTGCTCATCTACTGCATGCACTCAAGCGCACGAGAAAAAGGCTTCAATTGGGGTTGTCGATTACAAACGTTAGATATATACTGAAAATTGTCACACTAACTACATTATAATGTTCTTAAACCCTATTGCTTCACAGAAGTGCCTTATGTTTTCACCAGAGCAGAAAATGTAGCCACCACTTACGAAGACTTGTACATCTACTATCTTTACGCAATAGTGGCACAATATACTATTTTTCGCTGTCTCTTAAAGATGTATGGTATGGATTAAAGATATATTTATTGTCTAAAAAATGCAAAATCATTGAAATACAACTTTTTCATAGCGCCCACTTTTATTTTAATTAGTCAAAATCATAAGCATTTAAAAATAATTAAAAAATCAGTTATTGCATAATGTTGACATTATACTACAAATTTGGGAATACAAAAGTTGTTGTGAATTAAAAAAATACTTTCCATATTTTTTGTATTTTTAAAAACTTGTTTCGTGCTCTGAAAATTAAAATAATTATCAGGTTTTTTTGCTACAACTTACGTTTTAAATGTATGCATGGTGTGAAAAAGTTTAGATCTTACTTTACATTTTTGTGATGCACCTTTATGTCTAAAATGTAATCGTTGGTCTAAACAACTTTGGTTAAAAAAAAGCTAAATACTCATGTAGTTACTTTAATATTGATGAATTAAAAAAATTGAAAAATTGATATGAATGTGATTTACATTTTTTGCTCTGGTAAAAAAAGTAACAGTCCTGCCTTGGGTACAAAAATTTAATTTTCAGCATAAATTTAGCCGCTTGTTAGCTTTTTTGTTGTGATTGTCGAGTTCAAGTACTCACCTGACATTGTTGTGTCGCTGGACGTACATCTCGTGAAAACGCGTCTGTTTATGCTTTCCCACTTCCTGGCACTCGCTCGCCATACTGAGCATCATGTTGCGCTTGACCTTCACGAAAACATCAAACGTTTGAGGCTCTATCGTGTGTTTTTATACTCTACGTAAATATTACGTACGACTGTAAATATATCAAGCTTTGGTTATTTGAACGACAGTTTGCTAATATTTTACGCCTCAGGAAATCAAGCTAAAAGTCAAACTTGCACGTGCCCCTAGTTTCTGAAATACTTGCGCAGTTCCACTAAAAATTTTCATTTTGGTTGAAAAATTAAAATTAGGAATTAAAACGTTGTTTTTCGTGCCTATGCTTTTTAAGCTGATTTTATTGATACAAATTTTTATGATGCATTAAAAGGTAAAAATTTAAGTCAAACTAAACACTCAATGTGACATTTTTTTTTAAACTAACGAATTTTGAAAAGTTAGTTCCCAAAAAATAATAAAATGACTTCTAGCTTCTATAAATTCTTTTATCAAGAAATATTTCAAACAAACGAGATTATAATTATTATTAACTTGTATACCTTATCAACATTTTTCATACATTGTTTAGGAAGATTGTTTTGTTTTATAAAAATTGAAATCTGTAAAGGTCTTCGACGCGATTAATTAAATGACTCAGAACGTGAAAAAAAGTGCTATTTTTAAAATGTTGCGTGAAAAGTATTGGGTGTACTTCGAAATAGGGACCAGTGGAAAATATTTTAACAGCAACTAATTCGAAAACACTATTAATTGTGATTACACCTTGAAAAATATAATTATAGCTTATTGAAAAAACGTTTGCAATTTGTCAAGTGTTATAATTACGTGTTTTTATTATACGTGTATACTTTTTCTTTTATTTCGCCAAAATTTACAAGTGTTCTTGTCATTTCTGTGACAAAGTTGCATAGGGAGTTTTTTGACGTTATTAATACGTCATAATCCACTATTCATTGTTCGGTCAATATTTCATCAATCAAATGGGGCTATTTTCAAAACTAACAATAATTATTATAAAAATTACTAGCCAATGGTTAAATTCAGCAAACTCAAAACTTTTACAGTTTTACTTTACAAAAGGTCATAAATTCAATTTACAAAAAACATTCTTTAAACAACAACCATCGATTAACATCCACGTGTTTTCAGTAGTTAATCTACTTGACTTACCTCGGCAGCCAGGTAAGCGGGTATGACGCTAAGTAGAAGCTGCTCCTGCTGCTCGCGCTCGCATTCGAGTTTGATCCGTGACTCGATGATCGTCTTTGTCCCAGCAAAAGTTTGCCGATGGGCTCGTGACGTTAGCACACGGTAGTACAGACCAGCAGTAAGTGCCACCAGCATCAGTAGAACATCGCTCTCTACCTGGAAGCACAAGTGCATGTTCCCACGTTACAGAATCATCCGTTGAAAGTGTAATTGGATGAGAACGATCGTTAACGTCTTAATTACGGATTTGCATGATTTCAAGAAGTTGTATCACTAATTATATTATTGGTGAGGGGTTTCTAGGAATAAAAAAATATTGGTGTTGATAGTTTTCATGCTTTTAACGTGGATCCCTTATTTTGAAGTATGTTTTTCTTGGCTTTAATTACGTGTATCACGCAAAACTACGGTGAAGTGTAATGATTTTTTTTGTATGACAAAAAAACCATCCAATATTTTTTAATTATTAATAAAAATACCAAGTGGATGCCAAAAAAAATTAAAAATGATTATAATTCTGAACATGTTTAGTACTTAACATATTTTCTATTTTAGTGCCAACACTGTAACAAAATCATAGAAAGTGACATCCAAAAGTATGAAGTATACTTATACATTATGCTAACGCATATTACGTAAGTGATTTTAACCTAATAAAATATGAGTAAAAATCCCTTTCACGCCTCCTATCAGCCCCTCCGTATATTTGTGTGATTTATTAAATTTATGCCCCCCATTATATTTGTGCCCCCAATGGACCCCCTAGGACTATCCTCAGCCCCCTAGAAAATTAGGTAAAATTTGTTAGATTTTTCAGTTATTCTGAATGGGTCGATTTTTCCAAGATTATTACTATGCATTATTATGCTCTATTTTTTCAAGGTAATAGTAATTCATTCGAACCATATCAAATGGCAGAAAATTTTCTATCCTTTTATACGGAGAATGCTGTACTGTATACTCTTTTCTCACATTTTTTATTGATAACTAAAAAAAACTAATTTGAAGTTAAATCGAAAAAGTTAAAACTGACTTTTTTATAGTATTACTGAAAGGCTTCATGTTACAAGTTTAACCATATTAATATACGTAAATATATGAATGCTTTATACCACGGAATGGAACAGCAACGAATTGTAAACAAAAATCTGACTATTTTTCACTCTTGTTCATCACAAATGATCAAAAATATGCGAAAAATAGTAGATTTCTTACCTAGGGCAGAAAGTACAACTTGCGCGCCTATTGGGCGCGGTTGTTGTATGTTTGTGCCCGAGAACGACATTTTTTGTATCGAGAGCGGAAAGAGTAACTTTGCGCTCGTGTGCACACTTTTTGCCCGCTGATCACTATCCATCCTAAGCAGGGCCAGAATTTTCCTTCCCGCCCGTGGACGCAAAGTAATTAGTGGGTGGAAAGTGCGCCCTAGGGCACAAAGCACTTCGCCCGAGGGATGAAATAGTAGTTTTAAAATCTCAAGCTTTAGCGTGAAGAACGTTTAGTTGGCAATATACTCTTGAGTGCTTTGACTTATTGCGATACTTTTTCTGCTGCAATGGTATGTACACTATTAAAAATTCATTTGGAGAATTGGAAATAAATATGAAATTAATAAAATCGAAAACCTCATTCATATCGTAACCAAACAAAATAGCGAAACTTAGGAAGTTGAAGAAAGCTCGTCCACTAATAACGAAAAACATGGTGACTCTATTGACTCCAACGTAAGGCTTAAAAAAGCAATCAACGATCCTTCTCGCTATATTATCTATTTTTCTTGCAAACTAGAGATGAAACTCTTGAGAAATTTTTTGTAGGTATTAAACAATATAAATTTTGTAGTAAAAATTTAATGACTTACGTAGTAGGCTTTTTACTAATTTATTTTACCATTTGGTCAACAATTAGTATTGAATGGTTTGTTTTAGCTGAAGATAATAATGCTACTTTTGAGAATCTTTGAAATTATTAAAAAAGAAAATATTAATTAAAGAAAAAAGTTTTCTTATCGCGGGGTATAATCCGAAGAAATGAAGACATTATCCAAGGAAAACTTGGTAAAAGACAGTTTAATTTTTTAACTTTGCTCCAAAAACATTATAATAGAAAAGTCGTTAANATTTCATTTGGTTATTTAATTTATTAGTTTAGTGCTACGTCTCAATGACCTTTTTTTTGTCAATAAAAAATTGGTCGAGATGCCACTAACAAAAACAAAAAAAAAGTCATTACGCGTAACTCACATAATCTTAATATAATCATCAGCAAAATTCTACAAAAACAAAAAATTGACAAACAGATAAGTAAATTGCTAAGTAGTTTTTATGATTAAAAAAAATAAAATAAAGTAGGATGAAAAAAGATTTTTTTTTAATAAAAAATGTGTGCATTAGTTGTATAATCTCAGTAAAAGAAAAATCAACTAAATGAAAAAGGCACCATCTAAAAGATGTTCCATGACTTACAACGAAATAAATTATAGGTTACTTCAATAGCAACTATGGGGTGCATGTCTGCGTATATGGTCAGCCATGGTGGCCTCTTTCATGTATACATAATTTTTCAAAAGTTATATTGATCGATCAAGGGTTGGTACTGCACATATTTTATACAGCGACTACACCAGTGAAAAAGTAACTCATACCGTAATAGAAGCACGAAAGCTTTTGCTTCAAGATTAACAAAAATCTGAAGATATAATGTGTAACATCAAAGTTTCATGAAAAATTAAAAATTCAATACATCCCTACTTATTGCATTTTCCGAGTAGTATCAAGTTTGGTGCTGGTTATACTTTTAATTATACTGAATGGATTCAAAACTACTAGAAAAAGTTTAAATTACGAGTAATTACCCAATCCATAAGAAAATAAAAAATCAACACCAAGAGAAACATATTGTTCACATAGAATTTGCAGCATATTGTGGCATGTAATTTCAATTGCCTGCCTCTTTTCGTTATATTTGATCAATTGTATATACTATTACCTTGATATCATAAGTAATACCAGACGCATGTTGAAAAATAAAAAGAATTTTTTATTCACCAACATTCTATCGTCAACTTGGTACACTCATGAGCATACTTTTTATTACAAGTAACACTAGAATAAATTCTAATGGCTTTTATCATCGGTCGAAAGTATAATCTGGACAAATAAAAGTAAAATTGTTAAAAACCATTAACCATTACTAAATTAATTAGACAAAAATCCGTCAATTTAAAGTTTCTAAGCTTACCTCGTACAGCATGAGCCGACCACTGTCGTTATTAACATAGAGAACGACTCTCCTTGCCACGTACAACAGCGCGAACAACAGACCAAGAAGAGATGGCCGATGCTGGCGAATGCGAGGCAGAGTCGCCACAAGAGCTAGCAAGGTAACGAAGGCGGGTATCGGGGCTGCCAGGGCCACGCAACCCAGTCCGATAACAGCGCCACCCAGCAAGCCCAGACAGTAGCGGACGCGCTTCGAATTCAAACTAGCCGGCAGTTGAGACAGCCCCAGCAAGCAAAGGCCGCTTAGCAACAAGACTGATAGCTCCAATAGTGTTGGTAGCACTGCGCTGAATGACTCCGTGGTCTGTAATTATAAATGTTGATGATTAACTGTGGAACTATGGTGATGAAAAATAAAAAATTAAAACTAAAATTCTTCGGTGTATTGTTTTAAAGAGTAATACATATTTCTTGTTACATTTTTTAAATCCTATTCGTTTGAAAGAATCGTAGTCTGACTCGGTCTACGGGTACTTTCCCTATGTAGAAAAGACTTCTTACAACTAGTGAATCTATTTTTTAGACCAGCATGTATACCAGGTTTCTACCAGGTGTTTCAATTATTGGGTAAAAGTGTTTCGATACTATCTCACTTCATAAAATGATAAGTGTTCTGAACAAGTTAATACGCTTAATCATACAGCACTTAAGTTCTTTGTTTAAATCATTACACCTTTGACTCGGATAACATGAACTACCAAACAAATGTACCGTTCATAAACAGTTTTGAATACAAATTGAAAATATCCAAACAAGAAAGTTTGGTGATTGAAATTTGTCATATAATGCTGTTCATGGATCATTCATTGGCTTCCTTAATTTTGCATCCTTAAACATTCATATATTAATATTAAATTGTAAAGATACTGTTTGTTGACAACAAGCAGTTATTATGCAAAACAAACATTTTTGAGCTCAATTAATTATTTAATAATTCTTGGTTTTATACATTGGATAATGGTTTTAATTGCATTCTTTAAATTTTTGTAAAAATTGAAAAAAGATATTGTTGTACGATCAATACTGGCGAAAATGAGTTTTTTTAATTAGTAATATTTTGTTTATAAACTTTGAGAGCTGATGTTAAAACATATTACAGTTCAAACGCTACATTTTTCACAGAATCATTTTGAAAATCCATGTGACTCTCCATTCTGTTGCTGTGACAAAGTGTAACGTTTGAAACGGCGATTTTTCGGATCAAACGTAAATTCGATCAGTGAAAGCGGTCATCCCTTGGTGGTGGCTCCGCCCGCGCCGTTCGCCCGAGCTGCCGAGTGCACTTTTTGAGCGCGTCACGTCAAATTAAAAGCGTTGGGGTAGCTCGTCGATTTATTACCAATGACGAGTACTACGTGTACATCGGAGGACACGAAAAATTTTTATTTTGCATTATTATTTTATCATAATATTTTTATGTTTTTTAATGGGAAAGTGAACATTAATAAATATGTATATTAACAGTTTATTCATTACACTTTTTTCATAATCAATTTTACATTATGTAAAACATTTTTTAAGTACTTCATTATCACTTGGATACTCATAAATAATTTATGGTTCTGCAGCACCTGTTTCTTCTATGGCTTCTCTTTTCCCATACAATTGTCCCCAACAAGATAGACTTGTATCAGACCCGTAAGAAATAGCTACTGAATCCGTTGAGGACACTTTTTCCAACTTGAATTTTTTTGTATTTTAATTATTGAAAACAGAGATTATGTCATATTTACTTTTTGTTCTAAGAACCATGCAATTTTCAATAAATAAAGTGAGTTGTTACAAGAAATTTCCGTCACTTCAGATTTGAAGCAACGCGCTTGTAAAGCACACGCGGTCTGGGCGACGGTGGGGAACCGCCGCAGATGGGGAAACCGCTACCACTGATCAAATTTGAAGCACGGTCGAGAAAATTGCCGTGTTGTACTTCGTCGTAGTAACAATATGAATAATTTTATGCAATTTAAAAATAACAAAAAAAAAATAAACTGGAAAATGTGTAAAATAAAGCGTTTGGACTGTATTTCGCTTCAACTTATGTTTACAAACAGTGTCTCAGCAGTTGAAAAGAAAAAACTTACCTTTACTGCTATCAGTCGTACAACCTTATTGGTAGATTAATATGAGCAGTGCAATGACATTTAAACTATCGTCAAATTATAAAAAATCAAGCAGCTAGTAGATAATAAATCAAGGCCATTATCTACGAATTCTACGATAAAGGCATGGTTTACTAAATAGCTACATGTTCTTATGAGCAAGTACCATGCTATACATGCTTTCAATTGCTTCACAAAGCAAATCAGCCTACTATTTACTGCGCACATTTATAAACAAGAACTTCTAATTTTACCTCCTCCCCCTTCCACTTAATTTTATATTTTTGGAAACTAAAACAACTCGAGCAAGAGAAAAATATTCATACGTTTCCATGCACAGTTTATTATCATTACTCCTTATTTACCGAGCTCGCGCATAATTTAGACGGGTATCGCAGCACCCAATTACCTATATCAGCTCATCGCACGATTTGTATCCACTCAACGACCCTATACATAGTACATGTATAACTTGCGGTTTTATAAAGTAGGATTACCCATGGAAAATTCCACTTACAGTATAATAACGCCTACATCTACGAAAAATTTTTTACACTCTAGGGTAATTTGATAATTAAAAGGAAAGTTCGCAAATACAACTTTTTATTTTATATTCTTTACTAGCAATGATTGTGTATACATTTCATTGCAAAAAACTGAAATGATATAAAAGCCAAGTCACGTCCTGATTGGAAAATAATATTTAAAAAATAGAGACTGGCCCAATTCTATGATGATAAAAATAATAACAATAACAATAATAATAAAAAATATAAATAGTAACAATTAACAAACATCGATATTATATATCGATTTTTGTTATAAAAATATTGCCTCTCTCCATGCTTCACTCCCCAAATCGATGTTATTCAAATAATAAAAATTATAAAAATTTCAGAGATACTACTTACTTTAAACAAATATGCTTTTTAGAGTATAAAAGACAAAACAATATTTCTAATGATGATAAGTAAAATATAAATTATTCTGCCGGAAATATTTCAGTTCATAATTCTATAGTTATTCTTTACAATGAATTTATGTAAAAAAACCATAAATGCCTCGTGAACGTAGAGTATTAAGCATCAATAAATAGTATTTGATATATTTATGATTAGATGTATAAAGGAAGAGATCTAATATTTTTTAAAGTAGAAAAAAATGCTAGCAGAAGAAAAAAAAGTTTATGATAAAATGTCACATTTTAATTATGGACGATATTTGAGTTTTACGTTGGGTATAATTTTTTTTAAAGAAAACAATTTATTAAATTCCTAGAATTGGAAAACAACGCTTATGGCTTTTTTACATTAAATTAATTAGATGAATTCGCTAATAGAGTTGAAAATATGTTAATATTCCAGAATATGGCAACTTCAATTATATTACAGAAATTATACTGTACGTGGCAGATTAATTGTTTTGTCCCCAAAATATCGAGAACGATTTTTTTTTTAAAACTAATTTGATCCAAAAAGGACTAACATCATTTATAAAGTAAAAATTTCACAATAAATATGATAACTTATACAAAGAAGCTGCGTTGAACATGATATTAATAGAACACGATTTACTAATTTTAGTGATCCTTAAAAAATCTTGCAACGTCATGCTGCTTTCACAATTAAGAAAGTTTTTTGCGCGGTTCGTTTTGTCTGAAATTATTGATGGTAAAATTCTTTAGAAAAATTCAAACTTATTTTAAGACATATTTAATTTAAAATCGCGAAGGTTTCAGAAGAGGTGAAACCCTATTACTGCGATTTACATGCTTAAATTGTATCTGTATAGGTGATATGTATAGATATCATAATAACACGTTAATCGCGGAAGAAAGGGAGCCACTCCTTCCATTTTTATGTAACTTATAGTGAGCGAACTTAAATAATATGCTCAGCTAGACCTAAGGTTCTTAAACCTCATGATGAGGATGTTGTTTTGAAAGTGTGCTCGAATCCATTAGTACAGTTGGCTGCTAAATTTCATCCCAGGAAATCAAGTCAATAAGTGTGATACATATTATAGTTAACTTATGAGTGACTGAACTTTTAAATAAAACAACGAACAAACTTAGGAAAAAAAATAATGTATGAAAACAAAAGTAGAAGGATCAAAAATGCATGACATTGAGATTATTCTAATGGCATAAGCTTTGAGTTACAATGAATATTTTCGAGAGTGGAACTTTACTATGATCCTGTCCATAAAGATTCAGAGATCCAAAATTTTGTGTAAGTTTTTCGTACGTAATACCTTATACCTATCATCGAAGTCTTAGCAAAATTAAATTTAACTATTAACAGTTGACGTACGAAGATTCATAGACATTAATCTCATTAAACACGCACATGTAAGTATTAATACATGTATATGTGTACATCTAAAACTTTATAACAAAGTCTCTCGTCTCCTCCATTCCCTTGAGCATCATTTATAATTTCATGAAGGACCCAATTAGATCCAACTTGCGGGCGCACGATCATCCTCATCCCTTTGGTGCATGTATGTGTATCTCCAAGTACACCTATCTAGAATACCCTCTACTAGCTCGGGGCTACTTTTGCTAGCGGTTTGGTTCTCTGAGAAACTTGTGCGGTCTGGTTGAGGGGCGAAGGGGAGGGGGGTATCGAAGACGCGAAATCAAAAACGACGATGAGACGACGACCTATCCTAAATTCATAATATAAGTTGGTTCTGCTGCCATTGATGTGTTGGATGTTAGACTAAAACCGTTTAAGGAATGAATACCTCTTTTAGTATATACATAATAATAGATTCAATCGTGAGTTTGATAATTATCAATTGATTTTTAATTTTTCTATGAATAATAAAACCACAGCGTCAGTTAACAATTTAGTGATAGTCGGTTATCTATAAAATATGTGATTGACGGTAAGTTTTTTACTTTTTAAAATGTTATGATATGAAGAAAATGCATTTTACAAACTCTTTCTCTAATTGAAAGATTTTTAATATTTGAAGATTAATTGGGTCTTACTATAAAGGGGATAATTAGAATAACTTTTCAATCCTAACGTTTCTTTACAGTTAAAAAATTTGAAGAACAGGCTTTCTATGAAAAAGAGGTTTTTCTTTAAAAATACCACTCTTAAATATAATTTTTTCAATCGAATAAAAGTAAGGCTAAAAATCATCGGTTGCTGTTGGAAACTTAGAGTGACTATACTTTATCGATTTCCACCTGAGAAAACTGGTATCGTCTCTTTAAGGGTGATGATTTTGATACGGAAGACAAGAAACGTCTGAGGTAGTCAAAAAAGTTTTAAATTCAAGAATTGAAAGCAATACTATTGTAGATTAGTTAAAAAGTATTTTAATGAATTATTTGAATGAATGATTTTTAATCGTTTTATTAAGAGAAGATCTTCTTTTTTTTTTTACCAAATAATCTCGTGTATTTATTTCCACAGGGGCAAAAAAATAACGCAAAAAAAGAGTAAAATGAAATAAAACAAGGAAAGTATCAGCACTTACGTAAAGGTAGAGAAGACAGGCAAGCGCTGGAAGGGTGGCGATTATGGTAACACTAAAGACACCTGTGTAGAGTGAGGCCGTCAGCTTGCCTTCGTACCTGTCCCTCAGATCTTCGAGTTCCTTGTCACCGACATTACCACCAGCAACTGATGTCGATGTTGTCTCTGCAAAACACGATTTTAAAGACACTTTTATTTTTATTCGGTTAATATTTTTTCACGTATGAAATAAGTTTTTCTAATAAATATTGCTAGTGTAGTATTATGAAGTACATTAAATAAAGACACCGACATTTTTTTTTTAGTTAATATTTTTTCACGTATGAAATAAGTTTTTCTAATAAATATTGCTAGTGTAGTATTATGAAGTACATTAAATAAAGACACCGACATTTTTTTTGTCTTTGCACAAAAGAATAACTTTTATTACTAAACATCAACACACAATATATGTAGTACTATATAAATTTTGGAAAACTCAAACGAGCCAACCGCTACTTCATGTGCGAGTGCCTGAAGTGTATCGGCTTTCTGTTGTAATTGTGAAGTGTCACTCGAGCTACTACACACACGAGGTATAGCCAACCAAACAAAGTTAAACAAACTGTTGAGCCCTTAAATAAGCTCAATAGCCTGAAAACTTGCAATTAAACATATTTGATTATTAAGTTCCTACCAAATAAATTTCACCCCTAAAAAGTGTTATTCGAGGAAAATGCCTGACACGTATAGCGGATAATTTGTTTTATTAAGAAACATAATTATAAGAAATCATAACTAGGAATCTTTTTTTTTAAGTTTCGGTTATACATTGTTGAAAAATCGTGTACCTTCGCGATATGAAATGATAATATTATAGTTGGTTCAGATGCACATCTCTGCTCGGTTGAGACACGGCTACTCCAGTCGGATCCCAGTGGAATCAACTCAGAAAATAGAGATTTTTCAGGAGTGCTTTGTTCCGTGACATTTTTCCAAGCTTCGTGAATGGTACTGTACCACAAGGCAACGCGAGGATATAAATACATCATGGACACATACATTATGCACGAGACCAGTTGAGTGTGGTCATGTGGGAAATACAAGGTATTAATTGGAGAAATTGGGACATAATGTATGGGTAACAAGTAACGGATCCTAGTAAGAAATAGGGTACGAGTTTGTAATCAGGATCAACACCTTCTTCAGGTAATACTGTAGCCGTAAAAATCATTAAGTAGTGTATTCATTTAGTGAAATAAATTTTTTTTATTATATATGTTAATTTAAAAATAGATAAAATAATATCGTATATATTCAATACATTGACTTTACTGTCCATACAGTTTTCTAGAAAAGAATGAAATCGGTTATAATTATTAACCATGAATTATTTTTTCAGTAGAAATCAACAATTAAGAAAAATCTAGTATACAAGTAACCAACAATCACCAATAACCGTAATAGAGTTAATAATTTTTTGAAATTGTTACTATTATTATGTTATATAAAAAAAAGCTTCATCAATTTTCATATTTTACAAATACTCATATCTCATGGAGAAAATTAATCATCGTAGAAATTATGTTCGACGTTTAAATTTTTTAATTAAAAATACGTCGTGAAACAAAATCTTTACCCACTCTTATTTTTTTTAATTTCAACGTACGTATAAACTGCGGAGACTATGATCGTATGTCTATAAACTCAACTCCGAACAAAATTTCGATTAAAATTTTCAACCCTGTGCAAAAGCATTGGTTTCGTCAGTTCAAGCTTTCACGGCTCTCCTTATCAAAGACTACAGATATATGCGGTTGGCATAGAATGGATGTAATCAATGATCACTTGAACAAAGGCGACAACAACGTACGTTAGATGGTCGCATTTGATCAAGAGCAAAGAGGAGAACATTACACATACCTTCTATTATTACCTACTCTTTATCCTTCCCTTCGTTAATTCTACTTGCAGCAAACATCACCTCAAATTCATTTGTAGAAGCTCTCGTATCAGTCGTCTTTAGTCTTGGACTATGACGTTTTATTTGTGACTTTGAAAAATCTGTCTTAAATCATTTATAGTAAGTAAAATCACAAAATGTTAATAAAGTTTATGTTAAAACTACATTAAAACTCGCAAATGATTATTCAAAATGATTCTCTAGTACTTAAGTCTATTAAAATGAAATCAATTTTCTTAAGACTCACCCACGAGACATAGATTTTTGTTAAGGACGAAAACTTTCAGATGATAAATAAAATAATATATAAATAAATGGTACATGAAGTTACTAGGGCACAAAATATAAACATGAGCGTCGCAGGAGGTGGTTGTTCTATGTTTGTACCCGAGTCGCGTATAATCAGAGATGGGCAGTATTTGGCAGAGTTGAAATACTCTGAAATACTTTATTTCAGCTTTAATTAAAGTTACCCAAATACTTAATTACTTTATTTAAAATTAACATCTGAACTAAATACTGTACTTAGCATTATATTTAAAATAGTAGTTCAAACAAAATACTTAAAAAAACATTTTATTTAAAATAAAATATTTTAATCCTTAAAAATTGTTTAAAAGAATACTTTTTATTTTAATTTAAAATGCAGTTTTTAAAGTATTTTGTTTTGAATAAAAAACATTAAATACGTTTGTATTTTGAATGCATTTTTATTTAAATACTATGAATATTAAGTACAAAATTTGAATCAAAAGTAGTTCAAATACTTTATATCAAACAAATTGTACGAAATGCATTGTTTCGGATACAATTGTATTCGATGAAGTATTTTAAATAATTTTCAAATACAAATGTATAAAATTAAAGCCTTTCAGGACCGTTCCAGTATGGGTTGTTCCTGAGTGATTTTCCCACTCACAATACATTCTCCTGGCAAACGCGTAACTGCTCCCTATATAATTTCAATAATGTATGTATGTACAAGCGCTGAGGTTGATAGATGTTTGTTAATTAAATGATGTCTTACCAGTTATCAGAACACAAAGGACTAGAAGTAGCACTATCCAATTTTTGGCTCAAAAACGCCCTATAATGGTTTAAAAACAAAAGTTTAATATAAAAATTAAAAATCATAAATATTCATTGTCATGACTTTAAACCTACAATTAATGTATAGATATACATGTATGTGTTTGAATATTATATAAAAGCTAACCTTAGATGCAAGGATTGTGAGTATGACGAGTACAGAAAAACTACATACGGCACACACATACAACATATATCTTGGTATGAATTTACCTTAGGTTTTTTTACAAAAATCTTATATCTTGGGTAATACTAATAGACATGATATAATAGTGCTGATTTTGCTTTGAAACGTTATAAATGTCGTTTAGATATGGCCATACAATGAGACAAAAAATGTATATTTTGAATTTGATGATAACTCTTTTTATTGTGAACAATTATACTTTTAATTCGAACACGTTGAAAAATTGTACTTTTATTTGACTTAATTATTTCCATTACTTTATCGAATACAAATTTATTTAGTCAAGTATTTAATATGAAATATTCAAAATACAATTAATTGATTAAGTATTTCAAATAAAAAACATTAAATACAATTGTATTTGGAGTTAATTATTTAAAATACAACATAATAATAGATTCAATCGTGAGTTTGATAATTATCAATTGATTTTTAATTTTTCTATGAATAATAAAACCACAGCGTCAGTTAACAATTTAGTGATAGTCGGTTATCTATAAAATATGTGATTGACGGTAAGTTTTTTACTTTTTAAAATGTTATGATAGGAAGAAAATGCATTTTACAAACTCTTTCTCTAATTAAAAGATTTTTAATATTTGAAGATTAATTGGGTCTTACTATAAAGGGGATAATTAGAATAACTTTTCAATCCTAACGTTTCTTTACAGTTAAAAAATTTGAAGAACAGGCTTTCTATGAAAAAGAGGTTTTTCTTTAAAAATACCACTCTTAAATATAATTTTTTCAATCGAATAAAAGTAAGGCTAAAAATTATCGGTTGCTGTTGGAAACTTAGAGTGACTATACTTTATCGATTTCCACCTGAGAAAACTGGTATCGTCTCTTTAAGGGTGATGATTTTGATACGGAAGACAAGAAACGTCTGAGGTAGTCAAAAAAGTTTTAAATTCAAGAATTGAAAGCAATACTATTGTAGATTAGTTAAAAAGTATTTTAATGAATTATTTGAATGAATGATTTTTAATCGTTTTATTAAGAGAAGATCTTCTTTTTTTTTTTACCAAATAATCTCGTGTATTTATTTCCACAGGGGCAAAAAAATAACGCAAAAAAAGAGTAAAATGAAATAAAACAAGGAAAGTATCAGCACTTACGTAAAGGTAGAGAAGACAGGCAAGCGCTGGAAGGGTGGCGATTATGGTAACACTAAAGACACCTGTGTAGAGTGAGGCCGTCAGCTTGCCTTCGTACCTGTCCCTCAGATCTTCGAGTTCCTTGTCACCGACATTACCACCAGCAACTGATGTCGATGTTGTCTCTGCAAAACACGATTTTAAAGACACTNTAATTTAAATAAAGTGTTTAAGTATTTAGATAACTTGAATTAAAGCTGAAATAAAGTGTTTCAGAGTACTTGTACTTTGTTAAATACTGCTCATCTCTGCCTATAGGTATACTTGTTTGATTAAAATGTGCACAATGTATTAGCGCATGAATTGCTGTACATTGTTGAGTTATGAGAATCAAAAAAAGTTGTTGGGAATACAAAAAAATGCTGTTGTGAATAATATTTTTATCCCAATTATATGTGTTAAAAAAATACTAATTCATAAAAATACATTGTGCACAGAAATGTGTAATAAAATTTTTGTAATTAATTTTTACAAAGACATGAATAAGTTTTTGTAAAGAATAACTTGTGCTTAATAAAGAAGTTGTGTAGAAGTTGTTATTATTGGCTCCGCACACACTGTGTTGGAGTATTGTAGAGCAAAAAATATTAATAAGTTGTCATTTATTTTGTGTACAATTATTTGTGTGCACACAATTTCGTCCAAAAAATATGATACACAAGTTAATATGAATGCCAACGAAACATTTTATTAATAGTTTTTGGGCACAATTTTTACGTCTAAATCAGTGTATTTATGAAGACTATATGTATCTAATATCTCAATCTAACTAAGATTTGCACAAACAGTACGTTGATTAGGCACAAATATTGTGCACAAAAAATGGTAATAAATACTTTATTTAGTCATTATTTGTTTGTACATAGTATTTTTTCTTCAAAATCATGCACGAATAATTGTATACGAAATATCACGCACATAGGCTAATTAATAACTAAAGTGCACAAATTCATTGTTCACAAATTTATTAATTAGCTTGAAAGTGATTTTTTTTCTGTATACCATTCCATTGAGCACAAATTTCTGTTCCTCGGAAAGACAATAACTGTGCCCTGTAAATGATACCCAGTAGGATTGGTCGGGACAGATAACCGTATCGTCTGAAGGAAACTTTAAAAGTCTCGCATACTTGGAAAAAGTGAAAAGGCATTAAGAGGGTACAAAAAACCCTGCAATGGATGTACGAGGAATCGAATATCATGTTGTAGAAAAAATGCCTTGCATAAACCCCTTATACACGTTTAAAAGTGAAGAATTATTAAAAGTAACACATTAGCCCCCACCCGTGATTGAGATTAGATTTTAAAAATGAAAACTCTACGGTAATGAAATTTTAGTACATTTCTTTTATTTTAAGCCCACAAATTAAATTTTTTGGTATCACCTTGCATCATGGTTTGTCTGATCTGAAATATCTAATGTTTTGTTTTAGATAGCTGTGACATGGCAGCTGTCTCACGGAAGATACTGGTTGAACGCAGTCAAAGTACAACCAAGAGTACAATGGTAATAAATTAAATCGAAAAAATGATAAATAAAAAAACCATCTACCTTCAAAATAACTATTTCTTGAGTAATTTAAGCTTAATTCAATTGTTTGATAGGTCAAAAGAAGAAAACAGTAGGTGCAAAAGGTTTTTAAGTTTCCAAACCAATAGTGCTCTCACTGACTTCCACTAAGAGGAGAAGAGAAGTGCTCTCGCCTGTGGCAGAAAACTGAAGACGTGACCGCCACCTGAACTGACGCTCTGCGGCCAGAGTTAATGCGCGCTAAGCAGCAAATTTGAATGTGCTAAAACAAACTAACTAAATCCCAAAGAGCGCGCGGTGGCTCAGTTGGCTAGGTCGTAGATTGGCTCGCGGGAGACCGTGGTTCAATTCCCGGCCAGTGCGACTATTTCGGGCAAGTACCTCTGTGATTTTTCACATGTGCTTTTTCACCACGCAATGCTCCTCGAGGAGGGTTTAACAACAT